ATAATATCGCCAAAATCGACATGGTAGTTTTTAAAATATTCCAAAAAACTAGGGGTAGTTTACCCTCTGAAGCCCTCAGATATATGTGTGATACATCAATGGAAAGCTCTTTGAAAATGAATATCAGTTTACATTTACCACATTTCGATAGCTATTTTCGTTTTCAGCCTATAAGCGAATATATATATTTCGCCCCGATTTCCAACCCTTATAACTCGCCCCAGGGGCTTTATTAGCACGTATAAAAAAATACGTAAACCTTATTTTTGGCCATACTATCGCTGTACCAAATTTCAACAAAATCGGTGAGGGACAGTTCTGATACTTCCCTTGTTAGTACCGGTTTCGATAATTACATATCATCATCAGCTAAATCTACAAGCGAAATTATAATAAAGGCATATAGAAATAAATAAAATAAATAAATAAAATAAGTAAACTTACAGTCAAATAAATAATAAAAGTCACAATATAAAATGATTTAAAAATTAAAATAACGAGAAATAAAGATGTAAAGTGGACGACACTGAACAACACTACAGGTTAAAATGGAGTAATCACAAAAGAATAAAACAAGTTTCACGGATATATTAAAAACTAGAATTTTAAGTGTGAGTATAAAGGTTTGTAAATGAAGCAAAGCTGATCATTCATTAATTTTAGATTTTTATGTTTGTGTTTATCTATCTCGAGTTGTTCTAAAAGGTCTAATTTTTTGCCCTTCTTACAGTTGTGTAGGAGAGACACATTGTTATAATCGATGTCATGATTAAATTCCATTTTATGTTGGTAGACATTTGAAGAAGAAGTGTTTTTATGTTCCTTAATTCTTTTTGCGAGTTTTCTACCTGTTTGGCCAATGTACAGGGTGTCCCAGACCACCCGTACCAGCCAATTTATTCGGAAACGGTGAGTCCTAGAGAGTTGAAATAAAAAATTCGTCAACTAAAGCAGACACNTTTTTAAACGTACTATAACGACACATAATATCGCCAAAATCGACATGGTAGTTTTTAAAATATTCCAAAAAACTAGGGGTAGTTTACCCTCTGAAGCCCTCAGATATATGTGTGATACATCAATGGAAAGCTCTTTGAAAATGAATATCAGTTTACATTTACCACATTTCGATAGCTTTCGATAGCTTTCGTTTTCAGCCTATAAGGGAATATATATATTTCGCCCCGATTTCCAACCCTTATAACTCGCCCCAGGGGCTTTATTAGCACGTATAAAAAAATACGTAAACCTTATTTTTGGCCATACTATCGCTGTACCAAATTTCAACAAAATCGGTGAGGTACAGTTCTGATACTTCCCTTGTTAGTACCGGTTTCGATAATTACATATCATCATCAGCTAAATCTACAAGCGAAATTATAATAAAGGCATATAGAAATAAATAAAATAAATAAATAAAATAAGTAAACTTACAGTCAAATAAATAATAAAAGTCACAATATAAAATGATTTAAAAATTAAAATAACGAGAAATAAAGATGTAAAGTGGACGACACTGAACAACACTACAGGTTAAAATGGAGTAATCACAAAAGAATAAAACAAGTTTCACGGATATATTAAAAACTAGAATTTTAAGTGTGAGTATANCCAATTATGGTGTCGCCCAAAATCCCGCACCACACATTTAGAGACCACAGATTTTGATTGTTCATTTCAACCATCCAATGGGGGTTAACTTCTGACCAGTAGTGGGCATTGTGCAGGTTTAACTGCCCATTACTTTTAAATGTCGCTTCATCTGTCCAAAGGATATTCCGATGAAAAAATTGAGTTTGGCCTAATAACCAATTACAAAATTGTAATCGGTTATTAAAATCTTGATCTCTTAATTCTTGGCAAAGATTTACATGATAAGCGTAAAATTTATTTTCTTTTAATATCCGTTGGACTGAGCTCTTGGTGATATCGAATTCCCTTGCCATATCACGGACGGATAAATGAGGGTATAACTCAACACCGGCTATTACCTCCGCTGTTCGATTGTCTTGCACGGTTCTTTTTATTCTGTGTCTGATGTTGTGATTAGGACGAACTACCCCAAATCGCTTAACTCTACAAGCAAGACGACTGAAGACATGACGACTTTGCTGTGGTCGGTAAGGAAAGCGCTCGGCATACAATCTTTCGGCAGCCCGAAAATTTTGTCTGCATTCCCCCAATAACATCAACATGTCATACGCTTCTTCATTGTTGAAAGGCATGTTGATGTTTAAATAAAATTCTAATTAGTTGTTCAAGATAAATACGAAGAATTGATAACTGCTAGTTTCACAAAGTTGACGTTCTGTCAATAACAATTAAATAATTTTATTTTTTTTTTATAATTTTTAATTTATTAAGTTTTATTATTTAGTGTTTTGTAATATTCTTCTGTGGTAAAAAAAACTCCTTGTTATTTTATTCATTTTGTTAGTAAAAACAATTTCTTGTTATTAACCAGCCATTTCTAAATTACACGATTTTTCAAAACGACGAATAGCGACATCTATTTGTCAACTTAAATAACACCGGTAAAAAGTACCAACAATTAGGGTGGATTATTTCGAAAACGATTAGCAATATAAAAATTTTTTTCAAGCAAAAGAGATTTCTATTGAAGAGTTCTTTACGATGATATCGTAATTGACCCCTCTTTACATATAAAATATTAAAGTACAACTCAATTGCACCCACTTCCGGTTGTTGTTGGTCGGTCGTAACACACTATCTAGAAGGAGGGTGTCTGCTTTAGTTGACGAATTTTTTATTTCAACTCTCTAGGACTCACCGTTTCCGAATAAATCGGCTGGTACGGGTGGTCTGGGACACCCTGTATAATGCCTCACATTCGTTACATTTAATAGAATAAACACCATTTTTATTTAACATATGTTCTTTGCTTTTGAAATTAGACAATATATCTATAAGTTTGTAGCTATTTTTAAAATCAATATTGATATTGTGTTGTTTTAGAATACTTTTAATTTTATAATTTATGTCATTATAAGGTAAAGAACGAAATGTGGTGTGTTCATTAGTATCCTTAGTAAATAATGGGTTTAATTTTATTATAACATTATACATATAGTATTTTATTAATTATATTTGGGGGATAGTTATTTTCTATGGCAAGTTTATTTATGAAATTAAATTCGTTTTGTATAGAAGTTGCATTAATAGAATATCTTAGCATTCTGTAGATGTACGATTGGAATACAAATTTATGATTATTAGGATGGTAAGAGTCATAAGGTATAATTGTGTTTAAGTTTGTTGATTTCTTATATATGTCATAATTTAGATCTAAGTCATTTCTATTTATAGTTAAGTCAAGAAAATTAATTTTTCTATCTTTTTCAATTTCTAAAGTGAATTTCAACTTCTCATGAATATTATTTATATAATTTAACATTGCTATAAGATCATCGTTGGTACCTTCCCATAGACAGAAAACATCATCCACATATCTAATCCATTTTTTGATGTTGTTAGAATAAGGATTAAGTTTGTTTATAATATAATTATTCTCTATATAATCTAGATATAAGTCGGCGATAAATCCAGATATAGATAGACCCATAGGTAAACCTTTCTCAAGTTTATAAAACTTTTCGTTAAATTTGCAATAATTCTGTTGAATAATAAATTTGACAAGTGATGTGATATCAGAAGCTATATTTGTGTCTTTATAATGTTCCTCAAATAATTTATAAACAATGTCAATAGTAAAATCAGTATCAACATTTGTGTAAAGATTAGTTACATCAAATGAGATCATAATATTGTTGTTAGGGTTTATGTGTTTTATTTTATTAATAAAGTCAAGTGAATTTTTTACTGTGAATTGAGGATTAAAATTTAATTTTGTAAAAATATCATAAATAATATCAGTAATTTTTGACGTAGGTGATTCGTAACAAGCAGTAATAGGTCTTATAGGTAAATCGGACATCTACAGAATGCTAAGATATTCTATTAATGCAACTTCTATACAAAACGAATTTAATTTCATAAATAAACTTGCCATAGAAAATAACTATCCCCTAAATATAATTAATAAAATATTATATAATGTTATAATAAAATTAGACCCATTGTTTACTAAGGATACTAATGAACACACCACATTTCGTTCTTTACCTTATAATGACATAAATTATAAAATTAACAGTATTCTAAAACAAAATAATATCAATATTGGTTTTAAAAATAGCTACAAACTTATAGATATATTGTCTAATTTCAAAAGCAAAGAACATATGTTAAATAAAAATGGTGTTTATTCTATTAAATGTAACGAATGTGAAGCATTATACATTGGCCAAACAGGTAGAAAACTCGCAAAAAGAATTAAGGAACATAAAAATACTTCTTCTTCAAATGTCTACCAACATAAAATGGAATTTAATCATGACATCGATTATAACAATGTGTCTCTCCTACACAACTGTAAGAAGAGGAAAAAATTAGACCTTTTAGAACAACTCGAGATAGATAAACACAAACATAAAAATCTAAAATTAATGAATGATCAGCTTTGCTTCATTTACAAACCTTTATACTCACACTTAAAATTCTAGTTTTTAATATATCCGTGAAACTTGTTTTATTCTTTTGTGATTACTCCATTTTAACCTGTAGTGTTGTTCAGTGTCGTCCACTTTACATCTTTATTTCTCGTTATTTTAATTTTTAAATCATTTTATATTGTGACTTTTATTATTTATTTGACTGTAAGTTTACTTATTTTATTTATTTATTTTATTTATTTCTATATGCCTTTATTATAATTTCGCTTGTAGATTTAGCTGATGATGATATGTAATTATCGAAACCGGTACTAACAAGGGAAGTGTCACAACTGTGTCTCACCGATTTCGATGCAATTTGGTACAGTCATAGAATGGGCCAAAATAAGGTTCGTACATTTTTTTATACGTGCGGTAAAAGCCCCTGGGGCGAGTTATAGGGGTTGAAAGTTTGGAGAAAAAGTACGTTTTCACTTATATTTTAAAAATGAAAAGTGCTATCAAAATTTGGTAAATTGTAACTGATATTCATTTTAAAAGAGCTTTCTTTTGATGTATCACACATATACCAGAGGGTTAAGAAGGGCGAACTACCCCTATTTTTTTGGAATTATTTAAAAACCACCCTATCGATTTTGGCGGCATTAAGTATACTTCCAGCACGTTCAAAAATATTAGTTAAGGGTTTTTTCCCATTCGCTCTAGATCATCCCCAGCGAAGTTACGGGGGTTAACATGTAACCACTTTTCGTAAGAATGATGTGATAAAATTGTCAGGTATTTTGAAAATACTTTAACAAAACCGTAAATTAGTCGCACAATAAAATGTTTAATGTAAAATAAGGCATAATACACCATTTAGGGGTGGTTGGGGTTAACCACCCCCTTAAAAATTAATTCTATCCCGGGCATTACTTGTTGATTACGGCGAAATTTGGTACTGTGTTTGTTTTATATAGTTTATTAGTTTATTTTTATTCTACATAATGTTGCCAAAAATACACCTACCAAAAAAATTTTGGCACAATATTTGTTTTTTTAGTGCCGCTTGCTAAAGGTCATTTCTCAAAATAGTTTTTTCTAGTATAAAAGAACGTGTGCCCAGTGGGTAGATTTTAGTTTCAGAGCAACTGACAGAAGCAATGGTTACAATAAACCCAATGAAGAAGCAATGGTTGTAAGTATATTTATTAGAAAACTGAGAAAGAGCTCTTTTAATTTTTACCTTATTTTAAATTACTTTTTTGGTGTGATTTTAGTGTGTGATACCAAACATCCAAAAGTCGTAATGAAAACTTAAATTCCGTGGGATTAATATATCTATCGCCTATAAGTATAACCCAAAATTGACATTAATGTTCCAATAACAACTAATTGAGACCATTAGTACGAGCGGCTTGCAAAACGAAACTAAATGCCCTGATGGTGGTTCCATCTGTGGATAAATTTTTGCATAGATTGAGTACCGCCTCTTACAGGGGTGTTCTATTTAAAAAAAAATCGTTTAAGTCTCTAGGTAGCACATTTGAACGATATGGGCAACTGACGTGTTATTGCTATATAATTATTTAAGCTTTCTAAATAACTATTTAAATTATATCTATAACATTTAAAAAATTGGGGTGAATGGCATAAATAAGCAAAATAAACCATTAAAACTAGTTACGCTATTAAAACATAAAACCATTTCCAATTCACATTTCTCCGTAACTATTCCTGTAAATTTTAACCTTCTATTTTAATAATAATTTTCTGAAAAAGAGTCCTATAACATTTGTGCGTTAAATGGGATTTTCATTTTCGGACAGAGGAAGTATTAAATAATGCAAAAAACCATATTGATACAGAGACCTTTCTTCATGAAAAAAAATTAATTGTTTTGAACACGTCAGGTCGTAAAACCCTACAAAAGATGTAAAAAAGGAGAAGAGGTCGGTTTTGAAGAATTGTGAATGGGGTAAACAAAAAAAAAACAGAAAAAAAGGATAGAGTACTTATCCTAACAGAGATGTTTCCTGGACAGTTGAGAGGGCTAAAGTGTTCATTCTTATTCTAACAACTCTGTTGTTTAAACCACTCGGTAACTTATTTGAGATATCTATACCGTATTTATATTTTAGTTAACAGTTTATGGATATGTTAGGCATGCAAGAAGCAAGATTTCTATAATTTCTTTTTGCTATTTTAACTTTGCATTTTTGTCTCTCATCGATTCTCTCATCGATTGAGTCGAAGGAGGAGGTGCCAAAGGTAAATGATCGTAAATGATCTACATACGTATAATGCGTGACGTTCTTTTAAGATATCGTCTTTAAGATACTACAACTACTTCGCTGTAAGAAATAAATACTTTATTATAAAGACAAATTCAATTAATAAAAACTTTTATTTAGAAATCAAGGCAGCATCCATGAACCAATGAATGATGAATTGGAGAATTTTCGGTCAACACAAAACACGTATATGCAATTCAAGTTATATTTACGTAAAAAGATCTCTAATAGATCCGTAATAGAAATTATAGAACATCAGAAAAATGAAATTTAGCTCATAATTATGTTTCGATTCTATTTGTACTTTAAATCTTACTTTCTAAGTTACTAAACATACCCCCGTTCAATTGTTGCCAACTCGTCGCATCACTAGCTATTAGAAAAAGACAAATCAGCCGTCGCATTTTTAAACGGCTTCAGGACTCCCAATTTTTTCTGCGCCCTTTACCACCCCTCTGTAGGCCTCTAGTGCCCACAAGGGGGCGTTATCGCTCACTGTGAGATTTATTGGTATAGGATTATTTTCGCCTTGGTTACACAGAACTTTTGCTGACAAAAGTTTGTTTTGGTATTTCGGTCCTTTGGTTTAGTTCGTTCGTTTCGTTCGTCGTGTCCACTCAAAAGAAAGCACGGTTCGTTGAATAGTTTAGTTTAGTGTATAGATTTAGTGTTTAATTAGTGATTAAAGTTTGAGATAGTGACTACAAATTTTGCATGTAAAATATGGGTAAAATTAAAACGCCGCATTCCAAACTGAGCGCTTCAAGCCAGCGAAGGTAATTCTTTATCGTACTGTTGATTTATTATAATTTCCCATAAGCCGATAGTACACGTTAATAACATTTTTCTTCGCATATTTGTAGAATAATTCATTCGTACCTCTTTGCTATTAATTGGGATACAGAGCTAAATCGATTCAAGACAATATGGTTTCTTTGCGAATCGGTCAGTGGAGAGCAACCTGCTTGAATAGACAAATTATATTTTAACATCATTTGATTAATATTGTCAAGTTAATTCTATTTATACCGATTTTAACAAGGTTTTTGATCGTGTGGATCACGGACTTCTTTTATCAAAACTTCATGGTTTTAGCGTTCATGGTGGGTTATTCCGCTGGTTTGATTCATATTTGCGAGGTAGAAGCCAGATTGTGTCTTTAACGGATATTGCTCTGACTTTATGTCAGTTCCCTCTGGCGTACCTCAGGGTAGCCACCTCGAACCCTTGTTATTTAATCTCTATATAAACGATATATTCAAGGTTTATTTCGAGCTTTATCTACGTATCTTTTTGCAGACTGACCTTCTCAGGATTTCTGACTTTTGCACTAAAAACCACTTGACCCTAAATTTGTGTAAATGTAATGTTATTTCTTTTTCGAGAAGGAAGAATATTGTTCATTACGACTATAGCATCGCTGGCGAAAACTTAACACACATTTCCTTTATTATTTATTACAGACCTTGGAGTGACTCTCGATTCCAAGCTTCTCTACTCACAGCACATTGACCTATTGTTAATAAGGCTTGGCGTATGCTCGGTTTCATTATGAGATCCACTTCTTCCTTTATAAGCGTTGACGCAAATTAAAAATTTCTATTTCGCCTATGTTAATAATAATAATAATAACAATAATAATCATTTTATTGATACTGCACAAGAACAACACAATAAAAAAGATGTGTATATGTATATAAGCATTGCTATTACAATATCACTAGGGATCCTGCAGAAAATTCTGATTTAAGGATCACTTAAAAAAAAAATAGAGAAGTAAAGAAAATAGTAATAATACTAACTACTACATGAAGCAAATAACAAAATAAACATAACAATTGTTTCTATTTTAAAATAAAAAAAATAAATAAATGGATCTTTCCACTATTAATAACAATAAGCAAAAAAAATCATACAAGATAAATGAAAGAAAAAGAGAAAAAAAGCAATTAAAATAATAAAAAATAATAATAATGCACAATCAATGAGTCATTAAGTACTTTTTGTATTTCTTTTTGAAAGAAAACAAAGAACAGGCAGCACAATCATATCACCAATCAACACGATCATCACAATCATCACGATGGTATATTGTTTAGTATTTTCGCGCAATTATAGGAAAATGATTTTTTAAATGTTTTCAAACGGTGTTTAGGAATAGTTACAAAGTTTTTGCAACGTAAATTTAAATTATGCACATCAGTCCTGATGAGTGATTCTTTCATACAGGTATGGCGGAATTTTGGTGGTGATTATCTGCTGCACACGGCAAGCAAAGTGAAGGGCTCTGCGATCACTCAGATTCATCCATTTAGCTATCGGCAACATGTATGACACTCTCTCCCTTCGTCTTATACCGTACACAAATCTTAAGCATGACTACTGAACCTTCTGAATTCTCTCCACATCTGCAGACAATAAGCAGGGGCCATAAACAATATCGCAATAATTAAATACTGATAACATAAGTGAGTCACATAACATTAATTTAGCGTTTGTTGTAGTTAATAAATGACGATTAGGATAAAGTAATTTTAGCTTTGAATATGAATTTTTTAATAAATTGTTAACATGATAGCCAAAATTCAACCTATTATCCAAAATCAGATCCAAAACGTTAACTTCACAAGGTATTCGTGCCTTATTTATTTCATTACCCAGATCTTGCTCAATATTCACAATGCCTTTAGCCATACTACCAAATACAATCATTGAGCATTTAGAGAGATTTAGTCTTAAATTGTGTTGCTCAGAGTACTTTTATCAATAGGAAAAGAGTAATACACTACAGTGTCACCAGCATATTGATGATATTTATAAGTTTGCATACTCTTATGCAGTTTAGATGTATAGATAGAGAACAAAATAGGTCCAAGTGTATTGAACCTTGCGGTACTCCTGTGCTTATATTCATGAATTCTGAGGTATTCTGATTTAACTTAACACATTGTGACCTAGCCTGCAAATAACTTCTTCGTTATTAATCCTATTGATTTCTTACCCAAACCTATATAATGCAAAACAGCCAGTAAAATTTCATGATTAACAGTGTCGAATGCTTTACTGTAATCCAGTGTATTAACACCGTCAAATAACCATTGTCACAAGCAGACAAAATATCGTTCGTAATACACGCTAAAGCACTGTCACAACTATAACCCGTTCTGAACCCATATTGATATTCAGGATAGATATCCGATTCGATAACATGCTTTCACAGCTGAGATGCTATTATTTTTTCAAAAATGTTTGATAGTGTTGGTAATATATTAATCGGTAAGTATTACAAGGATCTGTAATAGTTACCGTCACTCTTTTTGTCCGTACACTTGTATTTCTTCAAGGCATTATTTCTTAATTTGATCAGTAATTTAATGTTATTAGTAAACCAAGGTGACTTACGTTTTTGCGGGAGAATGATGTTTGTCAACGGAGCATGAAAATGTATTATAGATAGCAAATTGTGTGTAAAGTATGTTAACTTTTGATCAATATCAATAATAACGTCTATAGTAAACCAAGGAATCGCCATCAAATCAGATATAACCATATCGTAATCAAACTTGTTAAAAGATTTAACTGTGCAACTCATTGGTTCCCTTATTTCTTCTTCTGAATCATATGTATCACGTAACGAAAATAGTATCATCACGACTCCAAACACAATTTTTTCCAAATTCTTCTTTAAGGCGGCGCATTTGAGAAGCATGGTGCTGCGTTAGATCATCCGCTATAATTACACTTGAGTTTTCAAGTGATTTCTTCGAGAGGAATATTTTTGGTTTAGTTTTATAGCTGACAAATTTTACAATAATAGCTCGATTTTTGTTATTTTGAGCGCTACCTACTCGATGACAACGATCTATATCCACAGGTGGATCCGCAAGATCCACAACTAGATGCTCATTTTTTCCTTTACAGTGTTTATTACCACCAGCTCCGTGTTTTCATCTTTATATTCATTTATTCCAAAGATGCGAATATTATTTCGTCTACTATACTGTTCTTGTCGGTCGAGTTTAACCTCGTGTTCGAGATTTTTAACTTTATCTTTTAATTCACAGATTTTATCTTTAAACTCTTTAAATTGATCTTTTAAAACCATAGTAAAAGTTTTAGCAATATTATTTACGAATGATTCCTTTTTAAAGAGCTCAGTCATTACCTCTTTTCTAATTGCTTCTTTGTTACAACCATATCGGAATATTTCAATAATAGATTATTAACTTACAATATAGTAATGAATATTAGAAGTCAATAATAATTTCCCGGAGTACTCTGTACCATTGTACAGGATGTCCGATATCTTCCGTATCAGAGCATTATACGGTTGTAGG